TTAACCTGCCTCGTGCTACTTGTCCCTTTTAATAAACCATATATTTTAAAGCTTTTTTAGATTACTTACACGAGTCGTTGGTTCCTATGTGTTCACAGTCAAAAGGATACGTGGGGGGAAAAAAACAATAACTAAAGGTGCAAAACCAGCAATAACGCGACTCTGCATTCCAAGTTAAGACGAAGTAAGAGCAGTCTCCAAAGCAGGTGTTGTCTTTGTGCTCTCGCTGGTTCAGCGCATCGATACACTTCCCCTCCACGTCATGATGACTCCTTCATTCCTTCTCCTCATCTCCTTCTTTCTCTTCCTCCCCTCTCACCTCAACAACGTCTCCTCAACCTCAGATAAAAACGCAGTCAGCAATGAGGCCTTTGGGGGTTGGTGGGAAAACCGGCCCTCATCTTTCATCTTCTCGTCCCGTTCTTAAAGCCCTGCCCCCCCCCCTCCTCTCTCTCTCTCTCTCTCCACCTCCTCCCCAGGACTTACTCCCTCCTTTTCTCCTCCTCATACTCCCCCAACCCTTCTCTCTTTCCCATAGCCTCTCTCTCTCTCTCTCTCTCTCTCTCTCTCTCTCCCAACAACTATCTCTGGGATTATCGATTTAGCGTAGGCTGTGATGGAGTCTCGCTGGGTGTGATGCAGGCCCTAAGGTGTCTTCTGAATGGGGAGCATCATGAGTTATGGACTAACTATAGTCACTCCTCCACAACACCCGAATCACAGGCAGACGCACACACACACACACACACACACACACACACACACACACACACACACACAAACTGCTCCCACCAATGCAAACCAACCAGCGTTTGCAAAGACAAGGACAAACTCGTACTTACGATTGCTGACACGCACACGCACACACACACACACACACACACACACACACAGCTGATCTGTTGCTTATTGGTTGTCAACAAAGCCAAATTTCCACTGAAAGTTTAGATAGTGTTTTTTATGTTGTCCTCTTTGTCGCTGTGTTTAGAAGATGTTGCTGTTTGCTGTTTGTTCCCCTTTTATTGCAAACAAGCATTGTGAGCAGTGAGAAGAAACGGACGGAAGTCACTGAGAACTAAGAAGAGTACGACTGAGATGTTACGCGTGTCGATGACATGAGTTCAACAGGACGCACCTGAATAAGAAGCAGTCGTTTTCAGGGGGACTCTTTGACTCCTTCACACAAAATAGCAGATACACGCATGTTATTGATGATGCTTGGGAGCCTGCAGTAGGTGTAGATAATTCATTAAAAGGCATTCGGTTTAGCGCACCGCATTAACGACTGATGCCTCCAAATGCATGCTGGCTTTTACCCGCGCATTAACCCTCCCTCCCTCCCTCCTCGCGCCTCCTCCGTGCCCCAAAAACAAGGCTCTCGTCGTAATTTGCGAATCCTATTATGGTTGGCCCGACTGCTTAGCAAATAAATAACGGTAATGATGATGATCCCTCATCTTGTCACCGGGGCTCTCCCCCCGGGGGGCTCCGCAGTGCAGGTGGAGGGATCCTCCACTGTCCTAATTGGTTCCAACCCTGCAGTCTTCTCTCCAGCCTTTTCTCCCTCGCTTCCTCCCTGCCTCCCTCTGTCTCTCTCCCCCTGTCTCTCTCTCTCTGGGCCTCGGAACTCACTCAGTAAACTTGCCTCTCTCTTTCTGTGTGTGTGTGTGTGTGTGTGTGTGTGTGTGTGTGTGTGTGTGTGTGTGTGTGTGTGTGCGCTGATGACACACCCCCCTTTGTTAATTTATTCTTGCACCAGCATTAAATCGCTCGTACTTTCTGTCGGTGCACACACAGATGGATGGAGAGACTGAAAACAAACACACACACACACACACACACACACACACACACACGCACAGTATCTATGCACTGTAGGCCTCATGTGGCAAATGAATGACAATATCTTGCCGCTGTGTTCCCCTGTTGTGGTATTTTAGCGGCCAGTGTAAATTAACTTGTTTTACGGTGACTGTTTGGTCCACAGCTTTGACCCCTGACCTTCAGAGGGCCTGGTCCACAGCTTTGACCCCTGACCTTCAGAGGGCCTGTTTCTAACCATCCCCGCAGCTCATTGCAATTCCACTGAAGATGACACAGAAGATGTTACATTGAGACATTTTGAATGAGTAGTGGAGATTAATAGTCTTACAAGTGAGATTTGATTATTGAATTTTGGCGCCTCGATGAAAAGAAAAAGGATTGAAATAAAAGGGGTGTTATTCTGCAACAGTTATCAAAGGATTCATGTCGAGGATTTAATTTAACGCTTCAGAGGTTCTGTCAGGAAATAAGGGATTTGATAAACCATCACGCTTTTCCACGCACACTTACACACACACACACACACACACCTGTGTGTCACATAAACAGAGACAGGCAGTGCCTTAAAAAAAAAGAAAAGTTCCAATAAATGCTGTTGTATGAAAGGCTAAAATGTTGTTTTGTGGCTTTTTGTGACTGGAGGAAGAAGCAACTTTAGCATCGGCAAACGGAAAAGACGTTCTAAAACATTTGTCTAAAATCAATACCTTCTCTGCCTGGCAAAGAGAATCTCTAATATAGTTTTATGTGATAATTTTTCCTCACACATCGGTACGTCTCTCAGCGGTTGGCGAAGGGAATGATGGATTTTCTCTTCGGCTGGGTGCTAAATGTGATTCTGAATGTGGTGGGTCAATAAGATGCAGCGGCTGCACTCTTTGAAGGGAATGTGTCCAATTCTGCACGTCCATAACTGCAGTTTGACAACTCACAAAGTTGTGTTACTTTTCAGCGCTGTGTAATACTGAGTGAACACGTATGACGCAAAAAACATGCATTAAGGAAGATCTGTGTAAAAGATTATGGAGCTTTTAACTGTAAATTGATCACTTTATACGGACCATTGATAATGATGCCAGCATATTAAATATATGCATTTTCAGTTCATGGACAGAAACGTACCAATACACAATGTAAATATTATATATTTAATTTGCGTATAAAGAATGTCCTGCTTTTGCAAGCCAGCAATCCTCCGGCTGGGAACAACACAATTGTTATTCGTAACAAACATACATTGAATCCCTGTTGTGTGTGAGGTTTGGTGAGTGAGAATTTAAGCTCCGTGTCCAGTGCAACAGGGACCTCTGTGGCATTAAAACACCATTGCATGCTAACTTGGTTTCACATTGTTATTCAGTATTTTATATGTTTGTTGCAATAAGTGGGGTTTTTTTGTTATTACCTCCTTTTTTATTCTTTAATCACCAGAAAAAAAAAAAGCACCAGAAAAAAAAACACAAAGCAAATCTGTTGCTTTTGACAATGAACCATTTGTCCTGAAATATTAGTAATGGTTGGAACAACGGAAACTTATTTTTAACTCTTGATATTTGAAAATGAAAAAATCAAATCATTACCTGCACAAATGTCTTTCATTTATTATCAATCCTGACTTGGACGTATGAGCATCTTCTTTGTCTTTCCTATTTAACATCTCTTGTATGTTGTATCTTACCTACAGAAGATGAAATGTCACCTCCAAGCTCGTTTCCATGGCAATAGAGCAAATTCAATATATTCTTGAGGACCATGTGATTCGTGTAACGTAAATGTTGCTCTATACTCTTTAGGCAGAGGTTATCATTTTTTTGTTATTCATTTATTTTTAACCTAAATGAATACATCGAACTTTAGCTCTAGATATGACGTCTACAAGAAAAATTAAACCCTCTTCAGTCGGATGGATTCATTGCTGCAGCATCGTGCTGTTGACCTTTGCCCTCTCACCTGGGCACTCGCATATATATACACACACACACACATAAAATCATCCACTCACTCATCTCCGCAAACATTTTGGCAACCCTCCTCCGTCCTTCCCGTCTGGAGTGGCAGGGTCAGGGGGTCGAGGATGACAACATGGCAGCTGTGATGTCTTCCAGCGCGGTCCCCGGGTCCAGAGCGGCGTGAGGCCGAGGCGGTTTCCCAGAAGGAAGTGACCCGTGCCTGAAGGGGTGCCCTGTTGTCCAATCAGAAGGCCGCTGAAGCCTGGCGGCGCTACGCGCTCTCCTTTCCCTCTGACAGACAACAGGGAAGGAAGCAGGCGTGAGCAGGCAGCTCATCACCTGCATCTGAACGTGGTCGTTGAGAGAGAGCGAGCGAGCGGACGAGGGAGGTAGAAGTAAACTAATAAGAGGATTTATTAACATGAAGTCAATGACGAAAAGTGAAAAAGAAATCCAAGTAAACCCGTGTGTCTGTCTGTTATTTATGAGTGGAATGTCTCTTCTGATCTACATTCCTGATGTGATTCTGTCCCCTTACCTGGCAAAAGGTCCCCGCTGTCTGCTTTGGATAATTACACGGACCTGAGGGAAGCTACAGAAAATAGTTCTGGAAATATCTCAGCCTCATTTGAATCATTGTGTTCCCAGACATGAAATGAAAGAATTATTTTCAGTATGAATGACTTTCAATGACTGATTCATCCTTTGACTTTTTCTATGACATTTTTCCACCGTACAAAATTTTTTTTCCAAAATATTTTTGACCTAATATTTGACTTTTCCTTATTTTTCAACCGAATATATTTTTTACTTTGACTGGATATTTAACTAAATAACAATATTTTTAAAACTTACACTTTTTTTTCTCTCTAAAATGCCTAATATTTCATTAATTATTATTTTCATGAGTGGAATGATACTATACCAACGGCCCCTGATGGCTGTTTGTGGTCGATGGTCATTTGCTTACATGTAGTGTGCAGCACTTTGAGCGGGAAGAAAGCGGGAAGAAAGCTACGTAGCTAGCAGATTTCACATGGCCCAAAAAGGAAATCAACTTTCTTAAACACAATAAATAAATGCAGATGCTCAGTAAGAGGCTACAAGGAGCAGCAATGCTTTAAGGACACTGAAAAGTATATAAACAAGAGCTACAACTTCAGTCTCTCTGTAGCTCAAACTTCTAACTACAATAAAGTCAAACAACGAACCACATGACACAGCAGATGTTTTGATATTTTTTTCTTGAATTTTATATTTTTAAAAACAAACAAAATAACAGATTAAATAAAATTTACAGTAGACGTATGCAATCATTGTGCACTTTAACTACTTCTTCTGTTACGTTCTGCACAGCTGTCAACAAAAAAACGCAAACACAACAGGGCGTGGGGGGGGGGGGGGGCCAAAAGGTGAGGTAAAGGGCAGTAAGGAGAAAATAAATTTGGGAAAGAGGAGAGGAGGAGGGGGGCGGTGAGGAGGGAGTAAGGGATAAATGAAGACCTAAACCTTTTCACTCGGGGGAAAGAACGAAATCACTGAATATATAGTTTTTTTATTCCTTACATCACTTATATAAATATATTGAATCCCGAAAAAGAATATAACAAAAAAACTTTGAAAAAAAAAAAAAAAAAAAAAAAAACAGCGCAATACAGAAACCCACAACAGCAGTAAGGCAAACAGAAAGCAAGAGTGGAGAGAGAGAGAGAGCGCGAGAGCGAGAGAGGAGGCCCAGCATGAGACGTGGCGAGAAAAGAGCTTTGGGGGAAAAGCTGAGAGATTGCGCAACTGTGCGTATGAAAATGTATAAATATGTGAGCTGGAGAGACGGCTGGGAGAGTCGGGGGGGAGGAGAGACAGCGTTGGCGGGGGGAAAAAGGAATAAGGGTCGGAGAGCGGCGGCGGCGGCGGGAGGGAACGGTTTGACTGAGGTCGACTCGACTGTCCAGTGTGGCTTTTGTCATGTGCTACGTGACCCGGTTGCCTGCGTGTGTCTGTGTGCGTGTCCGTGTGGCATTTCGTGTTTGTCTTTTTGTATAATGGCAGCACACATTCCACGGCAACAGTGAAACACATGCTCGTGTGTCTTGTGTGCTCTTCTGCTATATAAATACAAAACAAAAAAAAACGATGAATAAAAACAAACAACAAAATTATTTCTGCAACCAAACACCGACCACCTCATAATTCACACCTTCTTTCCTTTTATACATTTGACACATCATTTGACTCAAGTACTTTTTTTTTTCTTTTCGTATTTGTACACTGAGAGCAGCCCCCCCCTCCTCCTCCCTTTTGTTCGGTCTCTTTCCTCCCCTTCTCCTTTCACTGAGAGCTGGCTCTCTCCAGCACTCGCAGGTCGTAGTTCTTTTTGGCGGCCCTCAGCTTGAAGAGGCCGGCCCCGCTGTTGTTCAGTTTGAAGGAAGCACTCTGGGCGGCCATGGTGCTGGGGAACACAGCCACTACTGTGTACAGGTGGGCCGGGTCGCCGCCGCCGTCGGCCTTCGCTCCCATGTGAGCCACGAGCCCACTGGCGGCTCCTGGACCGACTGGCCCCGCACCAGGGCAGGGGCCACACCCGCCGCCTCCTCCTCCTCCTCGTCGGCCTCCCTGGGGCTCCTTCAGCCACTGGATCTTGGCACCGCACATCGACAGCTGGTTGAAGAGCTTCTCAGCCTCCGGACGTGAAATGCCCTCGGGCAGGTCCGTTACCTCGAGTACTCGACTCACCACTGCACGGAGAAAAGACCAGGAGGGCCACGGGGGGAGAGAGAGGGAGAGAGAGAGAGACACACACACACACACACACACACACACACACACACACACACACACACACACACACACACACACACACACACACACACACACACACAGAGAGAGAGATGTTAGCAGCCTTGATTGCTCCGGCTGTGTCTTCGTAGACTTGAGGCTCCTGAGACACTCCGTGTGTGTGTCAGATAAAAGACCTTTAGCTCAGGGCAATGGTGGTTTGCACTGATCGCAGGATACGGCGATCCAATTCGGTGTCTTTTGCTGAACTAGACTTCAATTATACTAGAGTTTTATTTAACGGTGTAACAAGATGGAGGTTGTGAGGAAAGCAATACAGGAAAATACACACACACACACAATTTTAAATGACTCTTTCTTAGATTAACCTGAGCAACATTCAGTGGAGGTCTCAGATGAGTTTGTCTACTCATCGCATTTCTTAAAGAATGTAAGATTATACACTGAGTGACACTATACCTGCAGACAGAACGGGATAAACGTAGAAGATGATATTCTGGCACCTCTTACTTACCGAAATCAGTTGTGCCGAGATCCGTCGATGCAGATTTGAGTGTTTGTTTTTTACCGCGTGCCCCGTGTTTCATTACTCCTGGGCCCTGAACACATTGGCACACAGATATTTATTAATTACACTATTACAGTTGCAGTTTCAAAGGACGGGATGAAAATAAAATCAACCACTGGTCTTCGGTCACTGGATACTAAGAATTTTTTATGGCTTCACTTTGAAGGAACTTTTTTTCTCCTCCTGGTTACGCAACATGTTGGAAAGTAAGAATTTCAAATCATTTCCACACAGACTTAAAGTCGTGGCTGTTTCCTTAAAACACCAATTTTCATTCACGGAACCAAGATACTTTGTGGAGAACAGTTTCAGTGCAGTGAATTTTGCACCTTTATCATGAAACACTGATGTGCCTGGTGGTTTATTTAATTACATTTTTAGTATGGACTGAAATGAGAACAGGTTCAATAACCACAGACTGCCTACTTCTTAGTACACATTGGCTAATTGGAAGTTTCCAAAAAAGAAAAAAAAAAAAAAAAAAAAAAGACCGGTTAGCAGAGCCGTAACATATTAAAGTCTAAATAATTTTAGCGGAAAGGCTTGCCAGCACTGACCTGATGGGAGCTGTAGGAGGACTGGCTATGCATTAGGGGGGGAGGACACAGGCTGTACTGCAGAGGCTGCCCCAGCAGAGAGTAGCGACCATCACCTTAACAATACAAGTGAAAATCATAATGATCAATGCTGAACGCACTTCAGTTAATATTGCATCAGAAGACAGGTCAGGTGACCCTCATCACCGCACACTGTGAACAATGTCAACACACTTATATAGATAGACCTGTCAAAAAGGAGATGAAGATGGATTAAATTGAATTGAATTTCACTTTTACATGTTGGGTAAAGTATGCCAGATATAGCTCCTGACCGCAGTATTTTTCTCATTTGATGTGCCGTGACTCGTAGACTGATGCAAGACTCCATCTGTATGTATAACAGTGCGTTCCATCAGTGGGTCTGTTTACCTGTAAGGGTATTGTGGCTGCGTGTGTAAATATCGGACAGAGGACAAAGATGAGGTGGAACCACGTGTGAGTACAGGGGGGCTTGACCTGATGCCAGTTCGAACCGGCTGAGGCTATTGGCTGTGGACCAAAAGCCACCTGACCCATGTTTTGCAGTCTAATCGGTAGCTCAAATTTATTTGCCTCGAAGCAAAAAAAGGATAAACCTAAAACTACCGGGTTTCGTATTTTTTTTGTAGTTTCGGGCCACATGTATATGAGCTTTCACGTGTACCTTGTGCGGGTCCTCCTGGCCGGGGAAACTGGGAAATGAGGGGTAGTGGTCCCAGGCCTGGACAGACGCTGCTGACGCTGCCGGAGGGAGATGGGGTGGGAGACTGAGTGGGGGAGGCCAGGGGACTCGTCAACTGAGTGCTAACCTGGACAGAAAGAGAGAGAGGAGAAATATGGTAAAATAGCGTGACACACCGATGACATCGGCGCCTGCTGGTCATACCGAGGAGGCTGCTAATGAACGAGCACACTCAGGATGAATGACTGCATTTGTACGTTACACTCTAGATTCATAAGATGCTTCACATTTAGTCAATAATAATGTTGCCAACTAGTCCGTGAGCTCTTAACGTGCGTGTACCTGTGGAGTGTTGTCCGGTTTGTACAGCTCTCCGGGCTTGCTGGACCTCTGCTCTATGCTGTAGTACTTGCAGGGGTTCCACTGGACCAGAGGAGGGTTCTGGGAAGGCTGTGGTCCATTGGGGACGCTGAGCTGCATGACCATCACCCCGGGCCCAGGCGGCGGTACTCCTGAGAGAGGACACAGAGGGACAAGCTCACATGTAGATAAACAGGTCATCTAACAAAGAATTGAGAAGATATCGCCGTGTATAGTTTAATGCAGAGCAGATTTCATGGGTAAGTGCTAGGATTCACATGAAGTTCTTCCTGTGGCTTAGAATGAAAACGTGAAAGCCGCTTGTTTTATCTGGAACAAAAAGTAAGAGTATTGCAGTACTTGACAGCTTCAGGGTTGCTGTTGAATATGTTACCAACAAAAGAAGTGCACCTTATAAATTCACCCATTTTAAAATACATTAGGGATCTCTACATTAGGATTCGATGTATTTTCAATGACCATAATGTGTCTTTATAGGTTATTTTCACCAAAGTTACACAACAACAAAACTAACCAATTGAGGCAGCTGTAGATCATCGGAGTTCTGTGAGGTAAAATTACAGTTTTTGTCAAAGGATTCGAGTTCCATATCAAAAGGTAGCGTCTGACAGAAAGGTAAAGTGGTGAAAATAATCTAAATATACTGTAAAATCGAACAAATATTTCTAGGTGAATTTTATTTTAGGTGGCTGAAATAAGTTTTTGCTGCTGCATCTAATCTAACTGTAACACACAGTGACGAGTGCCTCACACAACCCCACGTCAAACAAACAATACCGCCAAGATATCAAACCACATTCATTATTCCCTACATGCACAATAAGATGCTGAAAAGTTGACAACGGAGCCTGAAAATACAACTTTTAAAGTAGATTACCGACAGAAACGTGCCTGAGAACCTGACCAAACATATAGCCGATTAAATGGCAAAAACCAGAGCAGAGGTCGAAAGGATGAGGTGACCATGATTACCATCAACATTTACTTAAGGCCAAATGGGAGCACAAGGCCGACCTGACGTGTAAGTTGTCTTTGACTTCAAACATTCCCCTTTTACGGGTATTGATTGCCAAATTCTATGTGTGAACCGTGTGTACTTCTGCCTGAACTTTACCCTGAATACCTTTCACCTGATTTTGTTGCAAATGGGACGTGCAAAATACTAGGCCTTCAATTTGGGAGGATAATACTCACAAATAAGATGAGGAGTCAAGGAATAATACATTTCCAGAAAAGCTCCTTTTAATCTATTGGTCATTTCATGTTTTCATTACGACTACTTGGTGAAACCAAGTCTTACCTGAATATTGCTGCTGCAACTGTTGAGGGTTGCAAGGGGACGGCGACTGTGTGATCTGATACTGCTCAGAGCTCGCGGGCTGCAGGTAACCGACCGACGGGCTGCAGGATCACACGCAGGCAAAAGAGGAGAAAAATAAATGCACAGGTAAAAAGGTAACGCACACTCATACACGAGGACAGAGCTCTGCCAAAACACACGACATAGTGACCACTGCCAACTCGTTTGTGGCTATATGATGTATTCAGATATACCTTGTGCTATTCTGCTGTGTGGGTGTGATAACACCGTAGAAGACAGGCATGGGCCCCTGGACAGACTGGCTGACGGGAACCATCACCTGCTGCTGGTACTGCTGCTGCACCACCTGCTGATTCTCATTTCCCACCGGAACCTGGAAAACCCGGGTAGCCTTCTTGTCAAATACCATGGAGCGATAGTAGTAGCATAAATAAAAGATTCTTTTATTCTGATTGAAAGAGATCAATTTTAAGTTCAACATGGAACGGTTGCTTTGAATGAACACCAGATGGCGCCGTTTAACCATTTAGGAACAGCCACGTGTAAATGAACTCTGGTGGGCAGAAAACCTTCAGCACACACTATGCAGATTTTCTTACTGATGACAATCATGTCAGTATCAATACCTGATATGACGGCATCTGGGGGTACTGGACCATTATGCTTTGCATTTGTCCTCCCATGCCTGCCCTCTGGGAATTGAGCAGACCAGGGTTCTGGGGCTGCTGCACACCAATCATACCCTGGTAGCTCGGCTGCTGGCTGGGCATCATTGTCTGGAGACCTGGTGACAACCGACAAACAGAGGAGAGAAATTGGAGCAGTGTGATCAAGTAGGGGTCCTAAAATAAGGAGACCATGAGACCAAGTTAAGCAGTTCCCTTTAATGGAAAAACAAGCAGCGCAACTTGTTGAAAGAACAACACAGTTTCAGATAGAATGCTCTGTGGGGTTTTTTGGGTTGCTGAGCGCCTCTTTCATTGAGACAATTTGGGGCTTTCATGAAAAACAAAAACAAAACATTACATGATAACTTTAGTTTTTTTATATACACACACACAATTTATTTTGACAGAAATCATGGTTTTAATAGATTAACACACAATCCAAACAGACTTTGTACCAATGGATTTTTAAGTCAAGTGTGTGAAATCCTCACAATCACAGAACTCAAATTTCAAACTGAAGTTATGTCACACTGACTGCAATGTTCGTGATTGGATTTGTCAGTTACTGTACAAACACAGACAACGTGTCCTTGACCCCAAAGAAAAGAGACTGAGGACTATAGCTGTCCGTGTTTTCCATGAAAAAAAGAAAAAGCTCTATTTTGGTCTCAGCAAATTTGACTTGGCAGAACAATACATTGATAAAGGTTGTTTACAATTGAACTTTCACCTGGTAAAGTTCACTTAAAGATTTATCAGTTTTTAGCTGAGGTAACAACATACCACAGTTACAGAATCCAGTGGACTTAATCTGTATGTCAACTTGCTCTGGCGCTCCAAATAAGTAAAAAAAAAAAAAAAAATTGATTCTATTTTCATAATTCTATATTCATATTTATAAAGACAACATCCTCAATTCAAATATGAAACACTTTAAACAGGAAATAGCAATATTATGTGTGTGTATGTAGTTATCAGTTAATTACAAAAGGTTCTGACCTGACTGCTGTGCGGGCTGAGGCATGGGTTGTGTGCGCTGGGCAGGATAAGACACCTGGTGGGACATGGGCTGGGAGACTCGGTACTGCTGGCTAGAGCTGGAATACTGACCCGGAGGGTAGTAGGACACCTGTATCTGAAGAGAACACCACAAATATTTAAAAGGTAAATAAATATACACAAAGATGAGAGAAGAACTGCAACATTTTGAGTCTTCAAATTGGTTCACACATGGAGCACAGAGGCGATACCAGCCCCCCCTCATATTTAATGGTATGGGGAACATCATTACTTTTCGCAGCCACATGGGGGCAGCGGATACAAAGCTTGAGAACAACATGGGCGTGTGATGCCTCTTGAGTTGATACAATTGCTAGCAGAATGTATACTAATTCTATAAAAAGCCAAGAAGAAGCAACATCAGCATTAGTCTGGAATGATGTGTCCACTTGAGGAAAATCAAAAAATCACGTAAATCCCTCTTCTTTCATCTCTTCCATCTGCCTCCATTAACGATTTAGGGAAATTGCTTAAGCTGCACTATGTTCCCTGGCTCTTATCCCCTTTGGTGCAGGACAGGTAGATGAGTTAAGAGTCAACATAAACATACGAGACAAAACATCAAAGTATTACACATATATGTGGCTGCATAGCAAACAGAGAGCACGCTAAATGCTGGGAAGATTGACAGTTCCTGCCTCCACCTTCATCTGCATACACGGCAGCATTAAGCCCATCTCGAGGCTGCGGCACGGTCAATATTTGCACTCTTGTCGGCCATCTACACATTTAGCAACAGAGCATCTTCCTCTCCCAGCCAATACTGCTTGAAAATTGGAGAGTGACTATTAGTATACAAAGGTGTGTGGGAAGATAAAAGGCAGAAAAAGACAGTCTTTATAGGTCAGAGCTCGGAACTACTAAATAAAAGCAAAATAATGCTTCCTTGCGGTTATAAGTCTTTGCCAAATAGCATCTATTTATTACCTCATTAGGTTAAAAATTAACATGTGAATTATTGAGTTATGGACAGAACGTGTTTTATGAGGTCATAGTGACCTTTGACCACCAAATCCTAATCGTTTCTTCTAGAAATTCCTGTCCAACGTTCACATTTGTGCCAAATTAGAGTACATCCCCACTAGGTATTACGGCTTTAAGGAGAAAGTGACTTCCATAACCTATTTAAAGCAAATTAATTTAGTCTCAGCTATTAAAACTCCACTAAACAGACTATCTTCCATTACCACTTGGCCACAGAGTAACATTACAGTTTAATGACCAGGTCAATTTACGCTCTCCTCAAATACCTACTTTATTGATTCAAGCTGAAGCTTGATAGAGGGGGGGAGGCAACAAGTGCTTGACAGAGTGAAAGAACTCAGCGTTCGGAGGAATGTGACAGGCGAGGATCAAACTCCCCCACCGAGGGAGTCCTGCTGCGTCACAGGAGTTGCTGCCTGTGGTGCCGCTCTCTGAACTTAAAGTTTAGGTTTGTGAAATGTAGGGTACTTACTCATCACTGGGTAATCTTTACCGCGATGTGTTGTTTTACACGTTCATCACTTTGTAGAACGAACTCAAGATTTACATTATGAGTCAAAAGCTTCAATCTGTAGCTGTTCACCCGTACGGTCACTGTCAGGGGTGATGAATGAACTGACTTGATGTGTAACCCTTGCTCAACCAAATGTGTGTTCTACAATGTAAAACCACCATGAAGTCATCAACAAAATCTTTAAATTAACACTCATTAATGTGAGGTGTAAAGAACACGAGAAACAGTCAGAACAGGTACAGCTAGAACTGGGGAGAATGCCATACCTGTTGAGGTGGAGGGGGCTGCATGTAGCCTTGTGGGGGTGGCGGGGCCTGCATGACAGGCTGGGATGGAGGAGGCGGTGGAGGTGGAGGATGGGCGTGTCCAGTGGCAGGCTGGTAACCAGACGGAGGCGGCATAGGCTGACCTGTGGTAGCCATGATGTATCCGGTCTGGGGAGGGGGGTGCTGGGTCAGCACTGTGGGAGGAGCCTGGTACATGGGTGGCGGCTCGGGGTTCTCGCTGGAGCCCTGCCGACTCAGCGTCATCTGTGTGAATGGGGGCGCAAGCTCTTCTCCCTGTGAGGAATTGGAATGACGTCATTGGAGAGTTTGATGGCCAACGCACTAAAGACAATTAGCAAATTATTAGCATGTATCTAGATTACATGCAATGTAATACAACATGGAAGATACAATTATCTGCTAATTAAACTTAACAACTAGAACTATTACTCTGAAACACAGGCAGGCAGCGATAGACATCAAGTGCATTGCTGCAAGTTACTGGATCAAATCATTTATAAATATAAAGCTGCTTTATCCGTCAATAAAGCTGCTGGTATCTCCAAGTCAGAGCCACTTGTGAAGTGGAGTTTGAGGTCTAACTGAGGTCTTTGTGATTAATCAATAAAGCCATAAAGCTACATTAAAAAGAGTGTGTGAACAAATTAGAGAAAAATATGAAAGAAATACAGACATTCTGAGAAAAGAAACCCATACATCATCTTTCAAAGAGTTAGATGAGATGTTTGCTTTTCTGAATACAGGACAAAAAAAAGCTTAAGTTAAGGAAAGGAGTCGTTTCTTCACTCCCTCTATCTGAGAATTTGTTAAATCTATTCAAACACTCATCCGGTCAAACCTAACTGACCGTGTTCACTGTTTGGGCGGATTAGGGTGGGGGCACCGCAATTTCAGTAATTTATGTAGTAAGTGATTACTAGACAATTGAAACAAATTTGTCAAATGTAACATTAATTAAATAGTCACACAAAAGGCCATCCTAATCATTCTCAAATATCAATATTGGTAATTCGTCAAGCTTATAGATGTGTTACATCTTAACACACAACTGTAATTGAAGAATGTGAATTACCAAGTTTTCAGAACAAAAAAAGGCAATGGCTAAATGCAGAGTGTGGGGGTGTAAGTAATGCGATCCATAACTAAATTTGTTTTTTTGAGATCAAGCTACAAGAGGCGTCAGTACCATTGTGTACTGCTGAGGAGGGGAAACTGGCAGGAGGACCTGGGGGCAGGAAGGGCTGGAGTAGGAGACAGGCTGAGAGGGCTGCAGAGATGCTACAGGCTATACACACCAGCAGAAAGCAGGAGGAAATAAAGAGGCAGAGCACAGAGGGGGAGAGGGAGAGAGAGGAGCATGCCAGCCAGAGGGAGGGAGTTAGAGGGATAGAAGGGATTAAAAATAAAGAAAATAGAAAATTAGAAAATATGTGAGGAAATTGTTAATGAACAGATGGATAGAAAATCAAAATACAATTTAGTTTCTAAACATATCCACTGTTTTAAAGTGAGATGTAATTACAATAACTCAAAGAGAAATAAAAGAGGAACGTCTGTCATATGATGCATGCGGACGTGGCATTTTATCAATTTTGCTTAAAGTAAAATACTTTTTCTTCTTTACAACTGACACGATTCAAAAACATTAAATTAATTCCAACCCATTTAGAAAAGAAGGGTTATGATAAGTGTTTTGTTCATTTGTACGGAAAATGCAGATGCAGGCAGTGGACGCTCACCTGAGCGATCATGTGGTTTCCCATGGGGTGTTGCTGTGGAGTGGGCAGCAGGGCGGTCTGAGGCGGGACCTGGGGCTGTGGCTGTTGCGACGGGCAGGGGAGAAGGCTTCGGCTCGACTGGGAGGCTGCAGGTGGGGGACACACATCAGGACTGATTAGGGCCGGGCCAAGTGAGGCAGAGGAAGACATGAAACCCACAGAACCCTCAGCAAACATCATTTGGTCAGAAGAGAACGATGTACCCGATTATTCATGTACCTGTGTTTTTTTCTGTACCACGAGAAGGCAAACTCACTTTATATTATACTTTATATTTTATAGTGTCAACGGAATTCATTTTGTTTCAATACAAGATGATCTGTTCAAAAAACAAAACTCGTGTAACATATACATAAACAAAATGTTATATTGAAATATTTCTGAAAAGGGTGTGGATTGGATTATTTTTTTATTTAGCTGGTTGAATCTTTATTGTTGCAATGCCTCCAAGTCTCTGTACTTGTCTAGTTGATCCAGTTAAACCCTGAGAAGTTTCTTACGCCGTGTGAAACAAGAGGAAATAAATTCATGAGTCAATGAATCAAAAGCGTCTGCTGACGTCGTTGCTGCGGTAAGAACTGAATCATTTATCGCGCAGCGAGGAGTAACAGTGTTATGGAGTTTCATAAGAAAGTTCAATAAGAAAATGCAAGCTAGAGTGTAGGCTGTACTTGCATCACTTAATCGTCAAGAACTGAATTTGTAAAGCTAGTTTTTCAGTAACATTATGGCTAGCTGTCCTTTTTCTTACCAGAGCGAGAGCCTCTGCAGCTTCCCTGCGAGCCTTTGTTGCTGCCGAGGCTGTCCCCTCTGGTAAGGATGGAGATGCCAGAGAAGCTGCTGGCCTTGGTGACGGGCGGCCGGAGGGTGCGGTTGGAGCTGTCGGAGTCAGTGCTGCTCCAGGGTCGGGGCTCCAGGCACTTCATGTCACTGTCTGTGCTGCTTTGACGACTGCTAGAAGCCCGGCTGGAGCTCTCGCGGTTCCCTCTGAGAGAAGGTAGAACGTGGAGAACGAGTAGAGAGAGAAAGAGAGAAAGACATGATGAAGTTGGGATGGATGCAGGAAAAGGGAGGAATGGAGAGTTGAAGTAACAGCAGAGTTGAGAGGTAGCAAGAGAGAGATGTGTTGAAAGTAAAGTTGAGCCAGCAGACCAGAGACACGAAAAATATACATGGGAGGGGAGAAGAATAGAAAAGAGAAGGTGTATTGGTGAAGAGTAGAATGTAGGTGGAGACAAACAAGGGCAGTAAAAGACAAAATAGGATAGAGGGGAGGACAGAAGCAGAAGAGCACAATAAGGTCATCAACAGGTAAAGGACACTGAGTGACAGACTTTATGAGGCATTCAACACCACAATACAAAAATCAGGCAACACACCACCAAACAAACAATATTATTTCCACACACACACACACACACGGGGAAAAGATGCTCCAGACATTCAACACTGGGGTGTGACAGGATTCTACACCAGACAGTAGATGAGTTAAACATCCATGAGGTTATTACACAAACCATTGAAGACTGGAGACGACATTCACATACCGGGACTTGACAGAATAAGCTCTGGGACACATACGTGTTACTCATTGGAATACATATGAATGACAACACATACACCTGAGATACGTTGTACTGGAGACAATGAGACAAACATACTCCTGTAAATCAAACCACATTAACACTCGCACCCACTGTCACACACACACACAACCACTGGTTGAGCACAGTTGTTCTTGAAAGTATACTGCACACACACTCATTGTGCTGTTGTGATGTTGTCACCCTGGGTAAGAGCAGCTGCCAAGAAAACCAATGGTCACACTGTAAGCGTAACCACCACTGGTGGGACACCCCTCATCACAAGTGAATGTTTGGGTCTGCCAATGACATGTCAGCATCAAGATTGTTCCATTTCATTATATCCTATGGTGCTTGAAAATAACACATTCAAGTGTGTAGCATGTATCAATGTGGTGTAGTGCAAATAGAAAGCCCTGCAGGTGAACAGATACCTGGATCTCCGCATTGAGGACGGCAGAGTAAAAAAAACATTTCTCTTTTTCACCCTCTTGGAACTGAATGAGCAACAGAGCATGTCGGTGTGAGTAGAACAAGAGCAAAATCAATTAAAAACATGTGCGGCTGATGATGGAAACTCCATGACCAAAACAGGGACGCGGTAGGGTAGTAGAATCCTAACTATGGTGAGTGGTATTTTTGATGGTGGCGGTGGCTGATAAATATTTCAGAGGGACTGTAATTAGTAGAGGATCTATTTTGAGTCCTCTCCCTGCACAGCCTATTTTAAGGGAAGGGAGGGTGCTCTGCCGTTCCCTGTAAAAAGGGAGGCGCACACTTGTTCGCTTCGCCCTGCAGACGGAGATGAAAGCAGGGTGAGCATGAGACGGATAAGGAGGGATTCTGCTGTTGGTCCCACCCTCCCCTCACGACACCATTCGCCATCACACGCACAAACGGGGGAACCTAGGCGGTTGTTGTAGCTGATGTGTCGTCTTTCCATCGCTGAATACTTAGAACACCCCAAAACGAACCCATGCCGCACAGCAGAGCTTGTTTTGTTCAAGTACCACGTCCGAATTTATTATTTATAAAAATAAAGACTTGGACTGATGTGTATTAACAAATCACAGGAAAAATAACCAGTATGCATCATACAGTTGCAAGTGAGATGAAATGAGAGGTATCTCAACAAAAAATGATTTGACAAAATACGAGTAGATTTGTTGTGTTCACTTTTTTGTGAATCCTCTACAATAGTAAATTGGATATAGGGTTAGGGTTGCCGTCGGATCGACAACTTGTGACTTTACATTGTTCACTCTGCTGTTTTATAGACAGAAACATTAATTGATTTGCTACTACGCAACAGGTGACACCTTGATCAAGTCGACCACAAAACAAACTGACAGCAATGCAGTTGCTCTAAAAATGCAGTTGACGGTAGATGGGTGGAAGGGTAAGTGGGTCAATCGGTTCCCACTGAAACCTCAAAGCAGCCATGCATGGGCCATGGGAAGCCCCACGGTGCAGTGCTGTAAAAGCCATCAATCAGCCGACTACGCCAGGCAGGGATAATAAAAACCACAAGTCACGACCATCATCACCAAACACCTGTCAAAGAATGGGCATGGCAACACACAAGTCAAAGGCATCAGCACCCCAATACCTAAAGATCTGTCTCCTCTTTTGAGAGCTAGAGCAGTAGCCCTCAGTGGAAAGTCTGTTGGGGTTAACATTAGGAGAAAATGTGGGGGTTACAGGACTGGATTGGAGAACAGGAGGGAGTTAGGGGAGGGGTGAGATATGGAGGGATGGGAGGTAGAAGCAGGCACAGTGCAGGACTTTTACCCCTGCGAAAAAAGAAAAGAAAAAAAACGCACACAAAGCAGAAACTTTGACTGTTGAAAACACCGCGCTTCATCTTGCTCAGCATATTATGTCCTACTCAGGCTCAATGGCCGGGCTGCCTCGGGATGGGCAGTTCCTGCTGTGTGAGCTACCTTATTTCTATATAACATTTATTGCATTCCCTACAAATTGCCCTCAAAGACAGTGTGTGCATCACCAACATTTTAAACAAGTCTTGAAAATCATAAGCAAACTCATATTGACCGTTTGATCGTCAAAACATGTTTTTAAAGGGCAATGGTCGGGGAAAGACGGCCAAGATGAAGTCTTATAAATTGCACGTATCAGTCACCAAGAGGATGAATCATTTTACCTGTTGTCGTTGATGTATCCATTTTGAGAGGACTGTAAGAAAAAAGACACCTGCACATTATGAAATGTTTCATTCATACAGGAGTTCTTAAGAAAACACTATTTGCACGTGAAATCAGATGCATTATATATATATATATATATATATACACACACACACACACACACACACACACACACACACACACTTACTAACAACATTTCTTATCGTGATTAGATGTATAGAAATGTGTAACTGGTCAAAGGAGCTGGAGTAAAAGCGAATGATCATGAAGAGGATTGTGGTTTAATGTTTGACGCTAGAGTTTGTTACACTGTCCAGGTCCAATACTTACTTCTCGGGCAAAAATCCGGTCTCGTACCCGCTGATACTCTTCCTCCCGCTCCTCAATGGACTTGCTACGCCGGCCATCCTGCAGCGGAACCCGGATCTAACATTTGGGAAAACAAATCAAATCAGAAATATGACAACGTCACTGGAACCATTCACAATTAAATTCATGCAAATGCCCGTATAGTCACACGACCCAAGTCACATTGCAACACCAGTAGTGTTCAAAAGGGAGCAGCTGCCTGGCGTCAAAACAAACAACAGAACGACCACTGTGCAAAAAAACAAATGTTTGAATGTGGCGGAAGCAGCGTGGGAAGGTACGACACCACAATGGTGATGGAACGTAGGAAAAACAGGCGCGAGCATGAGGCGCCAAAGAAAGTGTTGAGGCTGGAAACATTGTTGGGAGGAATGAAGAAGTGTAAAAAAGCCATTGTCCACTGTTGTGAGACTTGATTAAAAGCGCATATCGATACATACATATCCATACAAGGAAAGCTTTTCCCCTTGAAACTCAGAAGTAGTCGGCACAATTTTGCGGTGAAAGATCTTAAATACATCGCAAATTGAAAACCGCACCCTGTCCATTTGAGGGAGCAGCAGTATAACAAAAGGACAAGTGGTACCCACTTATCTTCGATTCTATCTTTACCATCAATCTTTCACAAAAGGTAAAACCGTTTTGAATGTAGGAGGCTAAAAAATGAAGGATGTAAAAACACTGTTTGAACCAGGAGGCAAAGAGAGTAATTAATGGACTTCAACACAACCTAAAAGTGGGAACTGGGGTCCTCCAGTATCAGTTATTATACCCATTCTCCTTTCAAATGCCAATTTTTTATCTCTGTTGGAAAGGTTGTTAATAAATCAATCAAGACTCTGCTGTTGGGTTATGAGCGTGTATTTGAAACAACTAAAAGTATCACAGCTCAGTCGGCATCAAAGTCAGACATCAGCTACTTGCATCTGATCTGGAAAAGTCAATTAACTGTCCTATTCTACCAAATATCCACTTCGGTTTCCCTTTGATAGTGTGAGATAGTTAGCTCATGTCTTGGTATGCAATGCAGCCTACCTGATTATCGTCCTTGTCCATGCTGGCGTCGTCTCTCTTAAGGATGAATTTTTTCTGGAAGTCCATGTTACGTTCATCCTTGATGTGTTCAGAGAACTTCTGTTCTGGGCTGTAGAAAATATAAGGCATGCTTTGTAACATACTGAAATGAAACTCGACTAAACATAACATTTAACCGCATGTACAGAAGTGCTTTCCGAGTGTCAAGACGAGAACTACTACTAGATTTCAATATCAGATTGGCATTGATTTTGTTTGTCCACTTGAGTTTCGTAACATGCTACTGCATTACGACTCCTCACACATCAACAGCATCTGGCTGCTGCAAACAACTCTGCAAGAGACTATTGTGGAAGATGGTTAACCAGATGATTTGTATATCATACTTTAAGAAAGAGAAAATTAAAAAAAATGTAACTGGCAGGTTGTTATTTGTGTTGCTGGTTTTCCCATCGGCCTCTAAATGCATCATCAAAACCAACAAATATCCGTTTTACCTTTTAATAATACATTTAATATATTTGCATGGTGGTGAGTGGGTGAGTGTGTATGAAAGAATAATGACTTGGCCAAAAACAATTATTTTATTTTAAAACATTATCACTGTTAAACTAATCAATGTGGCAGGATTATTTGGAAGTAATTTACTCTAAGCAAGAACAACATGTTAGTGTGCACATTTAAGACAGGACTGTCTTAATAACTGAATTCCCAATAACCCCATATGTATTTTCTACACCTTTTACAGCTGTGGGGTAAAAACCAACTGGAAACAGCTTGCCGGTTTCTAAATGAACAATTTGTTATCTCTCTCGGTCCAAAGTTCACATGCGTGCTCGATGATGGGTCAGCTTTCAGCAAAAACAAACTTTCCGTTTGCTTACATATTGCTGGTCCGCCAAAACGTTTGTTCAGGTTGTTTTTCAATCCGCTCAAATTCCTAAGTTTATATTGCTGGGATTCCTCGGTTACTTTCTTGCAGCTGCATGGGTTCGTTGAGGTGGTTTACTTTACTTCTGGATTTGTTTTGCTTAAAACAGTGCGTACCTGCTGCGTCTGAAGAAACCGTTTCTTCAAGTGTGTTCAATAGGTGAATCGTTTTAAGTACATAAGTACAACCAATATAAAGATATGTGAAAGACGGCAGCTGTTGAAGTCGGCAGAAAAGTTAAGAGGTGCACTCACATGCGTGTGTTTCCCGTCTTGTTGATGATGACAGCCTTGCCCGTCTGATCCACATTGTGGTCCATCCCGAAGTAGGCTGCCACACGATGCAGCAGCATTCGGTGATAAGATGTCATCTGCGGAAACTTCTTATACTGGTTACTGCAGCAGGAAAAAAAATAAAATACCACATGCCATTAGAACACTGCAATCAATTGCTAATTAAGAAGATGTTTGTTCTTTGAACCACTGGAATTTTCATACAAAATATTTCTCATTTTCTCAGCAGTGATAAATACACTAATTATCCGACTTGTGTCACTCTTGTACTGCCCTCGGTTATCTTGTTTCCTAAAAGATTTTGCACTGTGATTTTGCTAAATTGTGGACAAGCACGATGTTCCGCTGTGGGGACAACACATTTGGCTGTTGAGCACAAGAGGATGTACTGCTTTCAGACATCTACAAATCATGATACTAAAATACTACTACTATTTACAGCGGCAGAAGAACTTGAGTCCTTAGCCAGCAACAGTGGCAGTCCAATAAAAACCAACTAAAACCTGCCATGTTTTTATCATTGCACAGCAAATCTATAAATGAATAGGAATGGGTCTAGAAGGGCTAAATTAAACACAAGAGAGTGGTTGCGAAGAACATGGCTTACTTGTCGTCATTAATGAACTCCAGGATATCTTGTTCTAGTTTGAGCAGCATCATTCGATCCCTGTTTGGCCAAAGGGGGGAGAGAGAGGGAGAGATCAGAGGGGCAGTGTGTCATTGACTAGAATGCGGCGAGCTAACCAAACCAAAGATCAAAAGGTATGATGTAGGGAAAGAAATGCTTGAATCACTTCTACTACGAGGGTGATCCTTTGAAAAATCTCTTAAACTGGATTTTTTAAAACAGACCTTTACACAACTGGATGAAATCATGTTGGCATTGCTGGGGGATACAAGACATTTTACATCAGTTTATCTACAGACTGCTGCAGGGAACGAATGACTCAGCAGTCAGCTGGTCAGCCATGTATAATCAAATATGTAAAAGGACCAAATGAATTGATATCAATGCCTAACTATTCCATCTAGGGTTTTTTATGTCTTTTTCTATCTGACCGCTCTGGATATCAGCAAACCTTTAGTGGCTATATCATACCTGGGATTGTTTTTCAGTGTGTTGACCAGAAACTCATGAACGTCGATGCCCGTGGAGTCAGTGTATTCCTGACTGGAGTCTAATGAAGAGAAGGAGAGCGTCAAAAGGCAGGATAACTGAGGAAAAGGTTGAGTACGGTAGAGCGAGACAGTTCGGTAAGGAGCTCCTGAAATGGCAACCAAATTCCCTACAACACCGGCTAGCTGTTCCTCTAGTGAGACACACACACACACACACACACACACACACACACACACACACACACTTCATCTCCACTGCACTCAGGATCTAATGATGGCAGAGGGCCTCGGCAGGCAGAGGGAGCAAAGAAGGTAATTAGAAAATGAAGGGCAGATTCAATTATCTTCTAGATATTAGCCTGACATCAAATTAGTTTGGGTATCCAAGTGAGAATGTAACAGACACGACAACACTTTTATAAAATGACTTATGTTTGAACCGATAATGTTATCGAGCATTCATCTTATTGGAGTATGAAGAATGAGTTATTAGAAATAGAAGCATGGTAACCGGCTACAAAATGTATCGTCCCTCCGTAGGTGCATCTTACCACGTGACAACATCTTTCGCGGAGCCTTGTCCTTCTTTTCCTTCTCTTCATTTTCATACTCGTCCTTTGAGGACTTCTCCTCTTCCTTGTCTGATGGACAGCTGATGTGAAGCTGGATGATATCCTGGAAAACCACAATCCTTGCTGTCAGAATAGACAGTTACATTTTCAATTCTAATTTATTCACTATTAAGTCCTGTAAATCCTAGACGGACCATAGTTGCATACAATAAATTGCAGTCCAAGCTGACCGCTTGGTGTGGGAAAAGGGTTAGTGTGAGGAGTTAGGTGTTAGACAGAAACGGTACCGATTCTGGAGGTCCATCATTGGAGAACGGACCAGAGGACTCCTCACACACTGCCAGACTCCGTACCAGCTTCAGTTTGGCATTAGACTGAAACAAAATCACACATGTATTACCGGTAAGGCTAATTAAGTGTATTTTATGGATATGTATATAGGTTTATTTTTATAATAGGAAATGCACACAGGTTCACGCTGTGAGTACATGTGGTGTCACAGGCTCTGCTCTCTCCCTTCTCTCGTCCTACCTCAACGACCGCACCCTCCGGGTAACCTGGCGAGGATCTGTGTCGGAACCATGTCCTGTTACTACTGGAGTTCCTCAGGGTTCCGTCCTGGGTCCCCTCCTCTTCTCGCTCTACACCAACTCTCTCGGCGCTGTCATTCGCTCGGAGCTTCTCCTACCACAGCTATGCCGATGACACACAACTAATTCTCTCCTTCCCTCACTCGGACACTCAGGTGGCGGCACGGATCTCTGCCTGTCTGACTGTCATCTCTCAGTGGGATGTCCGCTCACCATCTGAAAATCAACTCTGACAAGACTGAACTACTTCTCTTTCCGGGAAAAGACTCCAACCGAGGACTTGACTTAACTTTGGCAACTCCGTGTTAACGCCCACTATGACTGCTAGGAACCTCGGCGTGACACTCGACAGCAGACTCTCCCTGAGTCCCAACATCACTGCGACAACACGATCCTGTAGATACACGCTCTGCAACATCAGGAGAATACGTCCCCTTCTCACTCAGAAGGCAGCGCATGTACTGATTAAGGCTCTTCTCCCGTCTGGACTACTGCAACACTCTCCTGGCAGGTCTCCCTGCTATGGCCATTAGACCTCTGCAGCTCATCCAGAATGCAGCAGCTCGAATGGTCTTTAACCTTCCAAAATTCTCCCACACTACTCCACTCCTCCGTTCTCTTCATTGGCTACCAGAGGCTGCCCGCATCCAGTTCAAAACATTGGGGATCAGGACTAAAGACACACCTCTTCAGACTAACAAATTGTAGCACTTAAATTGTACTTATAATGCCACTTATCTATAGCAAATTGTATATTGGCTTATTTATGAAATTGCACTTTGTTTCTTGTTCTTATGAGTTTGTATCCCCATGGTTGAATGCACTTATTGTAAGTTCCTTTGGATAAAAGACTCAGCTAAATGACTGTAATGTAATGTAATGATCACGATCCATCTTTTCACGTTTTGCATTATTGATGTGTTATTTTAAATAAGCAATATTCAGATTTAAGTTGAATATTGGTGTCGCTCTTGCATTTTTGTTTTCATAAGATAAAAAGAGCTCAAAAGTTCAACATAAAACTGAAAAACTTGGATTGGGGGAGGAGCCGATGTTGGACATTGAGAACACAGAGCCATGAATGCAACATAGCTCAATAGGACACTTTGTAGATTATGTTTCAAAACCAAGGTTTAACTTTTCCACAGTGAATTGATCTAATCTTTTTTTCAGGACGCATTTTTAGGAGCATGTGATGCAACTCTGAACTTTCTTGAAACGCCTTTAAACCTTTAAAGATGCACACAGCCCTGAAAAACAACTTACTAATAAGTTCAGCTTGGAGAGCTAGAGTTTAATTATGAAATTGTTAGAATTTTATTTCAGTTGCATTGTACAATGTGAAGAGATACTGAGAGGTGGAATCATAAGCTAGCTAGCCAGTGCAAAGCGGGGTGAACACGTGCATCCATCAAGTCAGTTCCAGGGTTCATCCATTGACCCGCTAAAGCCACAGAGTGCAACACCAAGCGCTCGAAGCAAGACACAAATCAACCTCATACAGTATCTGAATGCTGCTCACTGTGTTAGAAGTCGACAGATAAGACGAACAGCGTGACTTTCAGCAGCTGCTGCACTGCACACCCAGTTTGGGAGTTAATTGGCGAGATTTATTGAGCAAACTAACATCTAGCAATGATATTAAAGACTTTATCAACGGCGTTCGGTGGGTTGGTGAGGTCACTTCACCAGACCTACTTTTAACCCTTTCATGCGATTTAAGATTTTAAGCCGATAGGAATGAGTGAGCTGTACTTGAGAGGATTAGTACGTTAATAGTGGAAGGTCGATTTATACAACAAGACGGCATGGTTTCATTCCAGGGAAAGGGATTGCTAAGTCATTTGGGTGTCTTCTAGGGAGGAGCTTGTTTTGTAGTTAAAGAAAGAGCTCAAACCAAATGACTCACCTTGGCCCTTTTCCTCCCATGGCTGTGATTAGGAGCCCGTTTCTGCAAAAAAAAGAGATATATAGCCAATGGAAGAAACTGATACTAACACATACTCTAGCTGTGTTTTCTTTTACCACCTCGCTGTAATGGTTGTGCTGTGGGCTGCCATATATTTCTCTTTGAATCTAAAATGACCAGATCTAAATTCTGTCTAAAAAAACTGACAGATGAAAAGTAATTATGTACCTAAACGGTTGTGAAAAATACAGTAAAGTGTAAGAAAATATGTGCCTATATGAGTTACATTTATACCAAAAATATGCATAACCATTACTAACAAATCCATCATTGTAATAGAGATAACAAGTACCTACTCTGACTTTGTACATTGTCACTTCCTCCCACCTGTGCATCCTGTGGGGAGCTGTCCTCGGGCTCCACGGCCTCTCCCGTCCCCTCCTTGGTGCACTGTGGTTGAGGGGAGGTCTTGCCTCGACTGCAGGGCTCAATGAGGGGCCCATTCTCTCCCTCCTGCTGGATGTCTGTTGCCAGGCTCACGGACATCTTCTTAGGGGAGGGGGAGGGAGTTGGGAAGGTGTCGACAATCCAGCAGTGGCTGACGGAACAGAGGCGCGAGAGACCGGCAGGGAGGAAACAACAAAAGGGCTGAAGACATTACAATACAGGTCATTTAGCAGACGCTTTTATCCAAAGCGACTTACATTACACTTTAAACCCATGGCTTTTACATTTTGCCCGGGGAGCAATTAGGGGTTAGGTGTCTTGCTCAGGGACACTTCGACTTGAGACATGGGGCAGCCAGGACACAAACCACCAACCTTGCGGTTCCCAGCACACTCGCTCTACCCCCTGCGCCACGACAACCCCAGACATGAACAAGGAAATAGAAATAACAAAAAAGAGTAAGATGCATTACAGTAAGTGTGAGCGTGTACTACTACAATATCTACCTGTAGGTGGTATCAGATCTTTGCTAGACTCTGTACAGTGAGTCTGGATGGGAACCAGGCAGAGGACGATGAGGGGAACCCACTAAGGTAGTATACTGTGGTGGGCTGCAGCAGAGGGCGAAGCGCAGTCCATAGCACGCTTTAGCCTTCGGGGTGGGGCTAAGACGAAACAACACGAAAGAGAAAAAACTGTTAAATAACTCGTCTCTGCAGCATAATTAGGATTTCTTCGACTTCAAGAGGCTGCGTCATTTTTGTAAGGAGATACAGAAACTACATTGTTTGTTAGCATCTTGATTTTGAAACAGTAAAGGAGGGATTATAATTGTTATGTAATTATAATGGCATGTCTTTACCAACATGACAACTACACTGTCTGCCCTTCCCTTGTGATGACTTAAATCTGACTTGTGAAACAAACTTTGCTTTTATCAGTTTTTCATCCAGTTTATGCAATTATCAGCAGGTTATTGCCAGTTAAGAAATGTGGACTGAATAAGGACCCGAATAGAAACTAGAATTAGCGCCTCGTGTTTGTGTTTCAGCTCAAGGCGGCTCCTGAGGTATCACGCTTGCAGCAAATGGGATTGACTTGAAGTCACAGTGACTTTGACCTTTGACAACCAAAGTCTAAATCAGTTGATCCTTGTCCGCAGGTGGACGCTTACTGTCTCGTCCTGTTCTGAAGCATAAAAAGCACACCGGAATATATTGTTTTATCACTGTTACTTTATTTTTTATTATGTCACGTTATTTTAGCTTAACTAAAGTTATTCCATTTCAGTCACAAGCATCAGTTGGTACTTAAAAAATAAATAAATAGAGTTCTAAAGACACAATCTTACAGCGTGCACAACAAAACAAAAGGTAGAAATATTTACAGCGATCAGGTGAACTGAAGAGGCAGCAGCTAGCCAGCCGGATAAGGGGGCGGGGCACACCAACAGGCCAGCCACCACCTCGGTGGTCCGCCGGGGCCTCGCTCTTCTCTCTCCCTCCGGCTCAGTGCAGCAGCATGGTCTGTCCTCCGGTCAGGAGCCCTGGACACCGAGAACAGAAGAGGAAGACACGAATGACGTCATGTTTCACACACTGAGTGACTCATCGCTGCTGCTGCTGCCGCCTCTAGCAGGGAGGGGGACAAAGCAGCTGAGAGCTCACCGCCTACTGGCACACAGTGCTGCAGAGTTCTGTAGCGTGGGCAACATTCTTTATCAATGGGTAACGTTGGTTTTCTGAAAGAAAACTAGTTTTGAAAAAATAAATAAATGGGGTTTCCGCAAAGTTACTTACTAGAAACTTAACAAATCGACCAATTGCAGTAAGAATGAGGAAAATGCTGCTGCAAAAATAATCAGTAAGTAAACAGTCATATTGGCAGTTCACCAATTGTACATAAATTCAGTATATCTGCTGGTACACAGGTACTAGCTGCACTCACGCTTCTCTCCACCAGTGAGTTGACCCCTACAAAACCCATTCTGCTGTTCTCTGCTACTAGCTAGCGCTCTTCGCACACATTAAAGAATGCAACGCAAGAATGAAACAGGACGGTGGTAGTCACTTGTTTCACCAGCTTTAGTCTTCATGAAGGAAAATATTATCATTACTGCAATAATACCATCATCCTAATGACTAATAAAAGAAAGACATAAATATGCATACGTAGTTAGATATACCGCAAGGGAGCGCAAACTGAGGCATCAGAAGCCCGATTGACAAACGACTTGCACGCAGCATGGATGAGAGCCATTCATGCGTGTCCCTGCCTGTCCTGTTGGGCTGTGCTGCAGGATGGATGAGATGAGTGAACAAACCAGGCAGGGATTCCCGGTGTGGGGAGACCCAGGCAGTGGAACGGCAAGCGCGTCATCAGCAGCAGCAGCAGCAGCAGCAGCAGCAGCAGCAGCAGCAGCAGACCGCATCACTGACCAGGAGCCCCACATGCACCAACCCCACTCTGCTTACATAACTCATCCACACAGTAGCGCAGAATACAGCCACAATATCTTGTGCAGTCTTATAAAAACTGTCCTCCTTTTGATTGCTCACAATAGATTTTTATCGGTTTCAAGTGTCAATCTCGAGTGGACCAATAGCCTAGGAGGTAGCAGGGAGGGGCTGCGGGACAAACTGAATCAAAGGCAGAAACGGGCTGCGTAATAAACTAGCTTTACCTGATCTCCTTTCTCTCCACCTCCTCCCATGCTTCTTTTATGTTCCAATGCTTTCTCAGCTCTCTCCTCAACACCCCCCACCTCCACACACACACACACACACATACACACACATACACACGCACAGGAACGCAAGCAGTGTTGCCAAGGAGATGGTAACGTCATTCTCAACTGCTGCCATTGGGCGAGTACCAGTGAGAGGAGCAGGGAGAAGATGGATTTAAAAATAAATATGTGGATTGTAGTGTGCGCAGAGAGAGAGAGAGAACCGCGCAGGGGGAGAGAAAATGTGAGAGACCATTAAAACTGCTGCTGGAAATCTTTAACTGCCGGTAATGTGATATCAAGCAGTAGAATCCAAATTAGTGCTGCTGAGATGTGAAAGCCAATGAAGATGACCAGTAGAGCAATGAGTGCCTTAGACCCACCATTATTAGACAGACAATAGCACCTTAAAAAAGGCACATCAAAACGCTTTTAAACAGATGACATTGAAACAACTCTTATGTTTGCGACAACAAAAGCTTAGTTTGTCTGAGAAGAGCAGATGAGGAAGCACAGCAGTGTATCCATGTTGTAATAGTATTATCGTAACATTTCTTGCCCTACCAGTTATAATAGGGCAACAAGTCCAAATGAACAACATATCAATTCTTATTTAGTACTAACATAAAGTGTCATCTGAGCACTATGAATTTAACTATAACAGGTCATAACACGGGCTGCACACTGCCTGTTGTGTCGCAGTTAAGTCAGCGTGTCGGTCAGCCTCTCTCTGACTGTCAGCATCACACGAGGCAGCGGAGCGGATGATTCCCCACAGAGGACCGTTGGCTTCGCACCAGGATCCAATCTCCACCTCTAAAGAACGAGGTCAACAGGGAAGTGCCTTAAACTCACATCTCCAGTCTATTGGCCATCAACAAGTCATGGCGGCAAAAAGTCAAGACTATCTGAAAGTGACCCTACGTCTCACAGGATGCATCACCTCAGTCAGCACTGCAAACATGATCTTATAGTCTTAAATCGCTAGTTTCAACCTTCCTTGTAATTGACCCGATTCTAGCGGGAGTTGTGTACAGCACCTCTACCACGGCGCCCACTCCACAGCCCAAATGTGGTCACTTCCATTCAATGTGTGCAAATATCGGTGACGGACAAAATGTCTACAAACCAATAAGAATTAACAGCGTTTTCAACTGAGAATAGTCTCACGGCAGCTATTCTGCCATTTACATGCGGGGTGAATAGTTAGCTATCCGAAAGGCTTCATGATAGAAGTACGAAGTCAAGCATTGATCCGAATACCTTTGATTAACTTAAGGTGGCTCTGTGCCTCTCTTATCTCACAAAACATGGCTACAAATTGGAATATTAAATATTGACCCGGAACACCCTCCGCTACACCAAAGAATCCCCGTAGGAGGTCCTAATGCCGTGCCGGTCACTCTGACCCACTTCACGCACGTTAGCGAACATGACGGCCCCTTACATGGGCCCTCCTTATGACGGCCCACCAGCTGTGACACATTGGTCCTACTCCTAACGTCCTACGTGCAAGGCTACCACGCTGGAGACAACCGATGAAGTGACCCAGTGGGAGAAAGGCCGCTCGCATGTTTGTGCGATGAGTTAACTCACGGATCACCATTTTCAGACAGTAGACTAAATATTCAGGGCCAGTATGAGCTCACTTTCAAATGGAACTGCTTCAGGTCAAACTGGATCAGGTTCTCAGCAATAGTTAGCAGCAGAGGAATAATTCCGTGAAAATAGCTGGTATGAGCAATGAGCTCCTCTATGCAAAGTCTGTAAACAAATTCACTTATCAGATAACAGATACCTGAACCACTGGCAGACATCATGTAAATGGGGTCAAAAGCCAGCTGTTTTTGCTTGGTTTTATTGTGAAAAATAAAAATATGGACTTGTGGAACTAATGGGCTTATATTCTCATTTTCTAAATCAAATCATATACTTGATTGATCACCAATTTCAACAGGCAATGTGAGCGGACACATTCTGCTGTGGGAAAATCCCCCCACAGAAGAATAACGAAATAGACATAGCTACAATATAGACAGGAAAGATACAGATGAAGCTACAGAAGCCCTTCTTTGCTAATGAGTGCAAGCAAACAGAGAACGCCATTTAGTGTCATCATTCTGTGTGAGTAATGACAGCAGGCTGCTATTAGTAGCAGTCATTTCTTCATTCATTAATTCTGAATTTCAGAATGGAGAAGCATAACGCGGCTGACATGCCTCTCCATTTTCTCCGCAGAGGCTGAATGAAAGATTAAGCTGAATGAAAGTGCAGGAGGCTGCAAAACAGCAGTGAGAAAAGCTCGTACAAACCCACAGACGCCAGTGGGAGACACTCACAGGCAGTTCGACCCAATTCAGCGCCTCTGCATTCAGCCGCACGCCTCGCCCGTTTGACGTCAGAGAACTCATTTCACAGCAAGGTTACGTCTTCACATAGTGCAGGCTGTCTCTGTGCGCGTGTGTGTGTGTGTGTGTGTGTGTGTGTGTGTGTGTGGGGCAGAGTTTGTGCAAGCTCAGTGCCTGGAGAGATTATATATCAGCAGCGCGCGCAGTGTGTGCCTACCAGTGTTTGCCTGTGTCAGAGAGGATTCCCCTTTGCGTCAATTGCACAATCTCACACAGGGAGGGGGGCGAGGGGGTTGGCTAAAGGACCAGAGAGGAAGCGTTCAGGCCGATTCAAACTCAAACAGTCCACGCTTCATATGGTTTAATGTGTCAAAATACTGTAGATATATAATACCTAACTATATATGTAATGATGAAGGAGACGGCACGGAGCAGAAAAACAGGACCCGGCAATCTTACACAACAAAGAATGAATGAAGAAAAAGGAAGAGCAACATTACAAAAACACAAAGACTTAGTGGAAAAAGAGAAATCCTGTCTCACCCCCATAAGACAGGATTTCTCTTTTTCCATCCAAGTCTCTCTCCTAGTGGTATGAGGATACCCCTTTCCCCCCTCCCATCAACATCTCTCCGTCGACCCACCTTTAAGTGTTGTGTCGCTCTCCTTCCTCTTTTTTTTTTTTTTTTTCTATCAGGCCTACTGCTGACGCCATCCTCCTCCACTCAGCACAACCCACTCAGTCCTGTGGGACAAGCTATGACTCATTCTCTCCCTCCTTTCCTCCCTCCCTCGTTACCTACCTACCTTTCTGTAGCTCTCTCAAAGTCTCCCTCTCGATGTTGCGCTCACTAGTTTTAGTAACCTGTGCATAGTTCTGTGCTGCATGTGGGGGAACCTACAGAAGGAGTAAACCACAAGGAGAAAGTGGGTGATGGGGGGGAAAGAGAAAGACAATCTCCCTTCTGCATAATGAACGATTCATCACATTGATTAATGTAGAGAAATATGAACCAAGAGAAGTGTAAAATAACGGGCAATAAGCCATGGAATTTGTTTCACTTTCATTTCTTTATTCTAGGATCCACAGATCGGATCCCAATTTGCAACCAAAATCTCTTCAACTGTTCCTCATTGCTTCTATGGTTGACTTCCTGCTACAATTCATACATGTCCTGCTCCATCAGACATAGAAATCAAACTTCTCATGACAGAATTTTCCAGCAGCGTGGAAGAAGAAATATCTGAGTAAGTCATCAACCACTTCCAAAAAACGTGTGTGAGTAGATAAAAACAAAACGTCTCGACTTAACATCCTGTCATCTAAAGCTGGTCCAACAGGACATTGTTTGAGAGGCAGCCCTAAATACCTTAAAACCGTTAAATCATTGAAAAAAAAAAAAGATATAGGCCAACAATATGTAGCGGTAGCAACTTGTCCTCTAATGTTACACCAGAGAACGTCCATCT